GGGGAGGTTTTGCTTAGTCCAGATTCAAAGCTCAGAGCTAGGGGTGGAGTTCCAGTTATTGTTTATTAGGTGGTTTATGGTAGTTCGTACACGTCCCAGTCAGGGGCTGGGGTCCCATGGTGCTAGGCACTGTACATTTCTATTGCTATTAGATGTATTATGGTAGCACCTAGGGGCAACAGGCAGGGACCAGGGCCCCATTGTGGTAGAGGCTATACATTATTAGGTATATTACGGTAGCGCCTACAAGCCCCAGTCAGGGGCTCCATGGTGCTAGGTACTGTGCATTATTAGGTGTATTACGGTAGTGCCTACACGCCTCAGTCCTGGGCAGGGCCCCTCAGTGCTAGGCGCTGTGCATTATCAGGTGTATTATGGTAGTGTCTACACACCCCAGTCCTGGGCGGGGCCCCTCGGTGCTAGGCGCTGAGCATTATCAGCTGTATTACGGTAGTGTCTACACGCCCCATTCCTAGGCTGGGGCCCCTCGGCGCTAGGTGCTGTGCATTATCAGGTGTATTATGGTACTGTCTATCCTTCCCAGTCCTGGGCTGGGGCTCCTCGGCGCTAGCCGCTGTGCATTATCAGGTGTATTACGCTACTGTCTATCCTCCCCAGTCCTGGGCTGGGGCCCCTCGGCGCTAGGCGCTGTGCATTATCAGGTGTATTATGGTACTGTCTATCCTCCCCAGTCCTGGGCTGGGGCCCCTCGGCGCTAGGCGCTGTGCATTATCAGGTGTATTATTGACAGACCCCTGTGCTGGTGGCACCATGACCCTGTCCAACGCCCGCTCGTTTGTCTCGCTGTGCTGAATGATCTCAGCCCACCATGCCGGACGACACAAAGAGACTGCGAGCAAGGGGCTGCGGCGCTAATCTGGCGACTTGGGAGACCTGGTTCTGATTCCCTGCTGTGCCACTGACTGCCTGTTGGACCATGGGCAAATCAGTTAACCGCTCTGTGCCTCAGTTCCCCCATCTTCACAAGGGGGATCACAGCCGTGCCCTGCCTATCCCTGAGGATCAATACATTTGCAGATTGAGTGGCGCTCGGACCCTGCAGTGATGGCGCCATGGGGAGCTGCCAGTGCTAAGCCTCCCAATCAAAGGATTCAGAGCAGCAGCCGTGTTAGTCTGTATATGCAAAAAGAAAAGGAGGACTTGTGGCACCTTAGAGACTAACCAATTTATTTGAGCATAAGCTTTCGTGAGCTACAGCTCACTTCATCGGATGCTCAGTATATTTATGCTCAAATAAATTGGTTAGTCTCTAAAGTGCCACAAGTCCTCCTTTTCTTTTTGCCAATCAAAGGAGCTTTTCTTAAAACCTCAGCACCTGGAGTCATGTGAATCTTAACTTCTAGTTAAAAAAATACATTACTACTCTCCTGGTCACAGAGAGAACCTTAAAGGCTCCAGACCCATGCAGCAAATAAAAATAACCCTAAAATATATTTTTAGAGCGAAATCTCCTGATTTGGAGCCAAATCTCATGGTTTTTATGCCAAATCTCAGAGGTTTTACACCAATCTTGTGATTTTTTGGGTGGGACCCAATCTCATAATTTTAGCAGGACCCGACTCCTGCTTCGCTGGTGTTGCTAACACACTCTGGTTCCAAACAGGCCAAACCTGGGCCTAGCTCCCAGCCTGCTCTGTGTAAGACTAGGTACTTCCCAAGGATGCTTAGTAGGGAAAACACAACCGAATACAGGCTAGTTCCAGGTGGTATCTTTAAGACCTGAACCAGGGCCCTGCCCTCTGCCAGGCGGCGTTTTAAACATCCGGGTTCGGTCAGTTTCCCCTGTTTTCTTTTCAATTTCCCCTAAGCCAGTTGGACAAATTAAATTGTAAGTGTCTAATTGCAGAGGGTCGCTCCATGCGTTGTGCCTTTGCTGGGAGGGATTGGCAGGGGGATTAAGGACGCTGGCAATCCATTTTCATCAGCGTTTAATACCTTTGGACGTGCTGTTTTAGGGACTGGCTTGCCAGTCACCACTGCCACTCTGCTCAGTAATTGCAATTTCTGTTTGGGGTCAAAACTACCATAATGTCAGGTTGAAGCGTCCCCCACCCCCATCCCGGATTTATTCTGTGGCGGAGCCGTGTCGCTGCGTTTCTTCGCTATAGGGTCTTCGGTCTCCGGGGGTATGTTTCCGGGGGAAGAAAAGAGGCAGATCTCTAGGACTAACTTCACTGCCTGGGGCAAAGGGTGAAGATATGGGGACAAATCTCATAGCTGGGGGTAGAATTTAAGAAACTCCGTGGGATTATTCGAACCATGCTGGGGTTTGGCCTGGCCGCTGTGGGTAACCAAGCCTCTGCTCCTGCCAAAAGTTCCCACCAAGTCTTTGATGCCGCAAGCGGCCCTAGTCTGGTCTCATCTGCAAAAGGCAGCGTGGGCAGCAGTGACCCTCCTACCCGTGCCCCCTGCCCTGCCCCCTGCAGCACAACGCCCCCTGCTGAGCCCCCCACCCCGCTCCCTGCAGCACCCCCTAGCACTGTATGTGGGGAGCACCGATTCTCTTGGCAAATTCTTCCAGGCTGATTTCCTGTTCCCTTTCTTCCGACACCCCCATTGCCCGCTTTTAAATGAGATTCTGGGCAACGCCAGATTTGGGCCGGAGGCCCAGGGGCAAGAGACGATGCGTCTGCAAAGCCACTTCAAAGGGGCCTCTTCCCATCCAATGGGGGTTAGCCCAGCCCAGCCGCATCCACTTGGCGTGCGGCGTATATAACCCAGCCGCTGCTCGGCCCTATGGTACAGCATGTAATCTCCTCCCTGCTTCTATTCCAAGACTGGGGATTTTCAATTAAGAATACTTACGGCCTTCCTCTCCTCTTGCTGCTATTTCCCTAATGAGCAGTGGCTGGTAACAAATTAATAGCCCTGACAGTGTGACCCTAATCCTCCTGTGTATTATAATTAAGAGAGGGAAGGCCTTGCTTCGGTCCAGCCTGCTGTGTGTAATTAATCAACCCGTGGCCCAGGCAAGGCTGGGGATTAACGAAACCCTTTAGTTTAACTTTTCTCTTTCTGGACTCATTACTGTAGCCCCCCATCCCCGACCCAGGGGGAATTATTAAATACAGCCCTGGGCCCGGCCCCGCTTTGCCGGCCCGGCTGCTTTTCTGCGAGGTGGCAAATCCCATTGCTTTGTTTTGGCTTGGCCGGGAATTAATGGTAATTAAAAGTGCATTGTTGTCCCGGCTTCCCGGATTGATGACAATGGAATATTCCTTTCCCCTGGCCTCATTTTAAGTGCATTAGCTAAAGGGGATAGGCGAGCTAGAGTCCAATTAAACAATGGGCTTGGAGATGGCAGGGAGCGAGGAGTTAAAAAGGAGGTGGGTGGTGAGGGCAGGACTCCTGGGTTCTATCCTCAGCTCTGGGAGGGGAGTGGGGTCTACTGGTTAGATCAGGGGGCTGGGAGCCAGGACTCCTGGGTTCTATCCATGGCTCTGGGAGGGGAGTGGGGTCTAGTGGTAGGGTTGGGAGCCAGGACACTTGGGTTCATGCTGTGGGCAGGGATGAGGCTTCACCTCTTGTGAAAAGGCTTCCGTGGGGTGGTATTTGGGAGGCGGGCGGGAGTCATCCCTTCTCTGCCCCCGCACCCCAGATCTGAAGCAGATGGAATGAGCCTTCTAATTACTGATTGCAAACGGAGTATTGGGTGGGGCCATGAACCCCCACAACCAAATGCCCCCAAATTGTCACCCCACACCTTGCCCGGGGCACTGAAGCCCCATGCTGAATCTCAAGCCAAGCGCCTGGAGGGAGGGGAGAGAATCCAGCCTGGGTGTTGACATCATCCCTACAGCTGGGGTCGGGGCCTGGGCTGCCCCCAGCCCGACTGGGGCCCTGGTCATTTAGAGCCTAGGTTCTATTGTGGGGGTCTGTAGTGATAGATCTAGCCCCAGTTTTCCCTCTGGGGCAGGCTCGGTAGTTATAGGGGTCGCTCCCTGTGGCTGGGCCGTGTGGTGTGACTAGCCAGGGGCCGGGAGAGGGGGGCTGGGGATGAACAGAGATGGGGCAGTGAGCTGCTCCCAGATGAAGAACCCAGCCTCCCTGGGGGTCTGGAGCCCTGGGAGCCCCCTGCTTCAAGGAACAGGACATGGAGGGTTCTGAAGAGAGATAGGGGTGCAGAGCTACTGGGGAAGTGCAAGAGAGAAATCACAGCATACGCTCCAATCCAGGGACACACCCTAGCCCCATTGACTCCAGCAGAGCATAGCACGTGAGTCTGTTCTGTCCTGAATCGGGTCCCTCCCAAGAAGGATCCTGGCTGGGAACACAAACTCTCAAGGTCTCCCTGCCGCCTTGGGGCAGGGACAGCGTCCAAAACACAGGTACTGGCCCCAAGCGTAGTTTGTAGGATGATCCTATTAATGGAATTACGGTAGCACCAGGGGGTCCCCATTGTGCTGCGTGCCCACACAAAGGGTGGGAGGGGAAACTGGGGCCCAAAGAGTTGCAGTGAGATGCCACAGCAGGTCTGTGGCAGAGAACCCCAGAGTTCTGAGTCCCAGAGTAGTGGGGGGCTGGGAGCCAGGACTCCTGGGTTCCATGCCCAGCTCTGGGAGGGGAATGAGGTCAGGACACAGGCCAGAGCTGGCTCTAAATGATCCCACGAGATTGGGGGGAAACTGAGACTTGGGTCCTGATTGCCTGGGAGGTTCTCAGGGTGACTGGCTCTGCCACCCAAGCAGCTGCCCCTCTCCCCGTCCATGCCACCCACTGGGCTTGCGGAGAGACCCCCTTTCGTCCCGGGGGATCACGTTTAATTGCGTCTGGCATTTCGGCCGCGGATTAGCTACTCACTGCCAGCCGGGTGGACTGTCTTCCCCAAAGTCACCTCGCTTGAGTCCACCTCCGACCCCCTTCCCTGCCACCCGCCCAGGATTAAGGGGTGAAATATAGACAATGACAGCTGACATCACAGCCTCCCTTACTTAAATCTTCCACATGTAGGTGGCCTCTTCCTCTTCTATTCCTTTCCCCCCCTCTCTCGCTCTCTCTCTCTTCCTCCCCCTCCTCAAAGTCTTCGCCTCCTGGAGTCGGCACACCCAGGTGAGTTGCTAGCAAGAGAGATCAGCTAGCCTTTTTATTGTGTGCGACGGGGAGGTATGATTATTTGCCACTGATCCAGATTTAGGGCAGGGTGGGGGGGGTTTAGCGCTCTTGATAAAATTATATCTAATGATTTAAAGTCTTTACATTCGTAATGCCACTCGTCTGGCTTTAGCGCGCTTAATTCAAGTGCCGTTGGACTGGGGAAGGCCTGCACGGGTCCAGTTCTTCCTCCAAATGTTTTGAGGTGGTTCTTTTTTTGGAGGGACGCAGATGATGGGAATTTATTGGTAGATGCTGGTGGCAAGCTGGGTGTGAAACGTACGCTGGCATGTGGAGCAGAGGATCGGTCTGGGTTGGGTCAATTGTTGGGATTGAGTTTTAAAATGGGAAGCGAAGAACTATTGCGTGACGTGACCATCAGACACTTAGTTATTTGTGCTGTCTCTGGAGCTGGTTTTGTGCCACTGGGCAATGGAGAAGGGGCATCTGTCTTATAATTTCAGAGGGGGACTTGACTGGTAATTAGGAAACCAACCACGAATAACATAACGGTTGGCGTTAAAACCACACTGGGCTTGGAGATGAACCGAGCGCGTGTGCTGGGATGCTGGTGTCTTTCCGAGTTCTTTTTGCAAGAACAGGTGACAAAGAGTTCTAGGAATCTGCGCCGCCAGGAGAAATTCAATATTTGTTTCTTCCTCTGGGTGCCGTTCTGAATAGCGAGCGATTTTCATCATTCAAATTGATTGGCTTTGGAAAAACAACCCGACAGTAATGTGTAGCATTTCAGACTGGAACAGGAGACTAGATTACCCTGTGTAGACAAAACAGATGTTTCTACCCCGGCGTTCCGACTCGTTGTAGGACAGCACCGTCCGTGTGTCGAATGAGGGACAGGAGCAGGTGTACAAGGACTATCTCTGCATGGAGTATTTCTATTAATGATAGATCTTAGATCTTAATGATAGTATTTCTATTAATGATAGATTATGCAGCATTTCTCAAATGCGGCTACCAGCGGCTTCTCTTGCGGCCACGGGGCACAAAGCTGCAGCCTCTCTCCTTCCTGTTGCTCCTGGATGTGCCGCCTGGGTGTTGGTTGCTGGGGCCGCCAGCAGGAGTCACCCTGCGCCTCCCCTGGAGACATGTGGGGCACGATGCCGGGGGAGCATGTGGCAGGTGGCCAATGGGTTCCTGACCTACCTTCCTGGGAGCAGTGAGGCTCAGGCTTTGGGCACTGGCCCCGGGTCTTCGGGCCTGTCCTGGGGCTCAGGCGGTCGGGTTCCCCCATATCGCCCCTGGCCCCCATTGCCTCCACCCCCACCCACCCATCACCACTGATCTAGAGCATATTTTACTTTGAAACTACCAAGCCAGTATTCTGTGAAACTTTACTTTAGAACCAATCAATTGGGTGATAATGGATTTAAATCTTTAGATTTAAAAGTGCGGCTGCACTGAAATTTCTCACAGATCGAATTCTCTTTCGTTCTGGTCTTTATAGAGTGCACTGGGGCGGCGGGGGGGGGGAGCGGGGATGTTTGCAAGGACACAAGGCCTTGGGCAGGCGTTTGCAGTCACAGGCAGACTGTGACACAGGGTAAATGACTGGACAAGGGACAGGATGAGTGAGTCTCTGCCAAGGGTCTTAAGACATCTACCAAGTGGATGGGTTTCTGGTCCTTTTAATCCAAAAGTTCTCAAACATCAAATGGAAAAACAAACAAATGATTCTGTGGAAGCCGCTTGGCTCACAGTCTGGCTCCCCCGAGAAAGTTGTGTTGTCAGGGTGCAAAGTCAATCTCCAGTTTCCTCTTTATTTTATTGTGCAGCTACCTTTTTTTCTATTAACATTTTATTAAACAATTTAAAATCTGCCTTGAAAAAACCAGCGTAACCAAACAAACGGTTCCGAATACGTCCACTTCTCATGCTAGCGTCACCATTTGCTACCTAACCTTAAACATTTCATGCTGTATAATACAAGGGGTTTAAAATGGAAATCAATTCTTTGTATTACACAATTTACAAACGCACACATTACACTTATAAAAATCCCCTGGTGAAAGGCCAATGATTACAAGAAGCTAAAGACTAGAAGCAAAGTTAAAGACAAAGGAAGTTGGAAACTTTTGGAAATGGTGTGAAACTTCATGCTCAAATAAATTGGTTAGTCTCTAAGGTGCCACAAGTCCTCCTTTTCTTTTTGCAAATACAGACTAACACGGCTGTTCCTCTGAAAGGTTTCAGAGTAACAGCCGTGTTAGTCTGTATTCGCAAAAAGAAAAGGAGGACTTGTGGCACCTTAGAGATATAAATTGGTTAGTCTCTAAGGTGCGACAAGTCCTCCTTTTCTTTTTAGGTGGTGACAGACCGACAAAGCACAAGGTAACAAAGAGATGACAGCACTCGGCCTAAAGCTTTCGTGAGCTACAGCTCACTTCTGTCTCCACCTATTGTCTGGCCTCTTACCCTTATCTTGTAAGTTTCTCGGGCAGGGACTATCTCTTTCAACATGCGCCTGATGCCACAAGGCCCTTGGTTGCTAGTAAAACTCCGACATAACAACTAAACTTCTACAGGATAGGCACGCCACCCTTGAACGCTCTTTGGCCTTTGCATTTTCTTAGCTGCAAAGTGAAAACTTAATGTGCTGCAACCCCCCTCGGTTTGCAGATAAAATAAGGGGAAGAAAGTGGGGAAAGCAAGGTATTCTCTCTCTCGGGTACTGAACTGTATGGAAATGAATCCAACTTTCTCCCTGAATTTTATTTTTGCCTCTAAGCTTCTTAGGAGAGTAATTTCAGCCGAGCAATCCGAGCGCTCTTGAATGAAATTTTTGGACCTTGTCTCTAGTCTCATCAGCTTGCTCAAAAGATTGTTAATCTCCTACAATCTCTCATTTTGCTGCCTTTGCAGAGTGTTTTCATTTGGTTATTTGTTTATATGTATATATAAAGAAAAGAGATTGGAGAAGGGGGAAGAGGAGGAGGGGGGGGAAGGATCCTATCTTCTTTGAGGATGCACAGCTCTGCAGAAAGGAGCTGGTCTCTTCTGCTTGTAGCTGTTTGGATCTTCGTGATTAGAGACACAATTCAAATATGAATATTGGTTCCTCTCTAGAGGCACGCAGTGGCTTGGTTAAAAGTGGTGCCTATAGATTGCAAAGAGATCTTCCTTCCCTGAAAGCAGTACAAACTTTTTAAACCAGAATTTTTGTTTTTTTAGTACTCTAGTTTTTTTTTTTTTTAAATTGACACTGCTTTAAATATTAGAGGGAAGAATGCAGAAATGAAATAATACTTCGAAGGTTGATTGCTACCGAAGCACTTTTATGCAAACTGCATTAGCCTGAATGTAACAAAAATGAGTGTTCTTTCTGCGAATATGTTATTTCTCTCTGTTAAATGTTTTTTAATCCAAGTAACCTCAAATATTAGCTTGCTGGTTTTAAAAATAAACACAAGATTGTTTTGTATCTTTCTTTGAAACGTGAGGCTTATCTTTCATGCCTAGATTTGTGGTCTTTTAAAAGCAATAGATTTGGGTTATCGTTTTTTGAATTATTAGGCCCTAATCCGCAAAGGTTTCTGTGTATGATTAACTAACGAGGAGCATTCCTACGAGATTTGACATTTTCCACACAAAATATTAGCCTGCTGCTACAGTACGGTGTCTTCTCGTTCTTTTTCTAAAGTTCCACCTATTGAAATTGGAAAATGAATTAGATGAATTAAAATCCAACACAGCTGCGATCTATACTTTCTGACTGCTATTTTTGCTCACAAGCTACCCCAACATACACCCATCTTGATCAAAGTCAATTTCAAGCCAAAGTGAAACTTTAAAAGGCAGCTCCCCATTCCAGACATGGACCTTCTCCTTTGCCATGTTCTCCCTCCAGAAGGAGAGCAAAGACCTCCAGAGCCATCTGAGAAAAACAATTCCCCCGGATATTAATCTGCAAGAGGTCTGTTGTTATAATTCCTATCATGTGAGATCCTTAAGGCAACAGCTGAGAATGGACGTAGCTTACACACAAAATTGTTTTGAGCAAACACTCTTCCCCCCCCCCCGCCCCCACTCCTGGGGCTTAGAGGAGAAAATCCCAAATCTTCAGATCTGAAAGCACAGAGAGACAGGGAGAGGAAAAGTCTGCTGAATCTACTGCGACCGCTCTAAATCTGCTCTCTGATTCAGGTTAAGCTTCTCTTTTTATTGCAGATTATACAGCTCGACTCCTCTATCTCTTCTCAAGTTATCCTTTTAACACATTTTGCTCTTTCTTGCTGCTTTTTTGGGGGGTGGCGTGGCATGGGTTTGCTAAAGATTTGCACATCCTCTTCTGGTGATCCAGCAGCAAACCGGTCTCTGTTATGTTTTCTTCCAGCACCTCCCAGCACTGTTCAGTCTGGACCCTTTGGAAGGACATTTGCTTGGGCAAAAAGGTAAGAAGACCTTTGGTAAAGACGGGTAGGAATTTTTTTCTGCCTCCAAAGCAGAATTTGCACACCTCGACTTCCAATGCCAGAGGTGACTTTGCTGCTATGCCATTCGAGCCCTCTGCTCACTAGCCTTGCTGGGGCAAGAATTAAATCCCCAAAGAAAACCCCAAAACTTTCTTTCTTGGGATTACCAAGGTAAGGACAGTTCAAAAAGAAAACGACACAACTGCCGCAAACGTGCAAATCTTGCTTATTTCTTCCAGCCAACAGGATAGATCTAAAACAAGGCATTCTTCTTTGGTTTATTCTTATTTCTTAACTTTCTTTTATAAATTCTCAGCAGGAAATCAGTTTAGATTAGAATTTTCCCTTATATTTTGTTTGTACGCTGGAATCTTAAGTCAAATGAGTTTCACAAAATATATCCACAGGGACAGATTTTCTTTTAAAGCCACCCGCATAGGTAGCAGCCATGCCGCAGTCTCTAGGGCTGGGGTTGTTTTAAATGGAGAGGGTTGTAAACCTGTACTATTCATGCTTTTGCACACTTTTTTAAACAAACTGGAATTTAATCTTTGCTTTTTCCTGTTGCAAAGATTGTAACCTGGCTGTGGACAAGATGGCTTAAAGTGGCACCAAAACCTGGGATGTTTTTAGAACCAATTGAAAATGAAGTTGTGATTTTTTTCCCCTACAGATTCAAACATCTGATTCATGGAAATTGAGTCAGGTTTTTTAAAAGGATCTTAAACAAAGTTGTTCCTATAATTATAATGACAAAGTGATAATAATAAAGTCAGTGTGAAGGGGCCAAGGTTTTGTACTGAGTGATAAGAGACCAAAGAACTTTTTGTAGGGTGATTTGTCATATTCGCACAGCCCAGGCTTAAACCCACAATTTGCCCCACTGTCAACGGATCACACTGAACTGGAAGAAAATTTGGCCAGTCATCACCACAGCCGAGTTGTGGGTCCATTTGTATATTTCACTCAGCCTAAGAAGTTGACAATAATATAAGTTTCGTTACAAAATGGCTTACTGACAAATTTCATCAAAAATATTAAGGTTGGATACCGCTCTAGAAAGCAGTTACATTCCTTTTCAACATGCGAAAGCAATAGCCAGTGCAAAATGATTCGGTATAAAACCTGGATCTAGAGAAGAGGGGAAAAAATATTTCTCTTTTGTTTTGCTATGATCAACACCCTAAAAGAACTACGTTCAAAGGTGGTAACCTGCCTTCAGAAATGGATCAAACCAGGAATAATGTTGTCGGTTTCATTCCAACTCAGGTTTTAAGTCATCACCATTAGCCTTAACAAAGTCCCTTCTAATTGTTAAGTTACCTTCAATACATAAAACGCAAACGAAAAATGATGCATAAAAAGCTCTTCAGAACTAAATCTTTATTATTTTGTTTTAAGGTCTAACTTTAAACTCTCAGGGAGATGTGATTTATCTAAATTCCTATTAATTAACTGAGAGAAGGGGAAAGAATGATCAGAATATTGGTTGCACGCAATTGCCTTGCAATGATTTGTAACAATATTCTAAGTTCAGCTCAGTTACTATGTTTGCTTCCTAACAAAGGAGGCATGCATCTTGCTTTTTTCATTTAAATAATAATTATAGAATTCCAGTGAGTATATTTCAATATGTATATTTAACATAAACAAAACTGATGATTTTCTAATAATAAAAATAATAAAATAATAATAATGTGTCTATATATAAATATATATACATTGTGATATATCTCTAGAGAGAAAAATACATTCATACATTTTGGGATCAAATTGTGGCATTCTTCAATTCTTCAGCGATTCATGGCTTGTTTTGTGCCAGAAACAAGCTAAATGCTACCAAAACATTTCAGACACAACACTGCTAAAATGTCTTTTATTCAATTATTCCTTTTGGTAAAATAACCGATTATCCCCACAAAGAGGAAAACTTGATTTCGCAAATCTCTTTATGAACTAAGAAGAAAAGATCTGAATGTAATTCATACAGGTTTTGCAAAATCATCAAAACCACTTTCAAATGCTTTGAGCTATTTAAAGCGTTTTTTCAACACTCAAAAACATGTTTTCTTTGCCCCTGCCTGGCCATTCTGCAAAATCCATTATTTTAAATCGATCTCAGTGCTTTCCCAGATTATCTATCTCTAGTGGTTTTAGTTAAAGTGGATTTTGTTGACTTGTCAGCGAAATCACCAGAATTATTTGAATAAAAGGTTTGGAAGAAAAAACATGGGCATTTAAACTGGTTCTGTTTGGGGGAAAATTTATTAACAGAATCACCTTAGCTCGCTGTCATTTCAGATTTGAGAGCTACTGATGAAAAGTGCTATATAAGAACTAGGTAATAATGATAATTCATAACTCAGGATCACATTTTCAATAGCACCCAAATGACTTTGACTTTGGGGGCCCTTTTGAAAAATTGTACTTTAAATTCCTCTATCATTTAGACGTTTTACAAATTTTACCGTACGTTTGTCGGCCAAAAGGAAAAAAAATTTGTTCTTGAAAATACATTCCAATGCATTTTAAGAACATAAGAATGGCCACACTGGGTCAGACCAAAGGTCCATCTAGCCCAGTGTCCTGTCTGATGCCAGGTGCCCCAGAGGGAATGAATAGAGCAGGGAAATATCAAGTGATCCAAAGAGTTTTCCCCTTAATACATCAATTTGTTCTAAAAGGCTCTTTCTGGATTTCCCTCCTCTAATGGGCTCTATTTTTGATGTATTTGTGGTGGGATTTTTTTGTTTGGTTTTAGTTGTTTGGTTTTGGTTTTTTGCTCAGACTTGTTTTTCCTCTGATCAAATCTGGAAGTGCAAAAATTCATCAATGCCCTGTTTACAGACTTCACTCCAGAGTCAACATGCAGCATTAGAAGCCGAAGGCTGCTTAGTAAGGTGCAAATGAGTTGCTAACTGTGAGTCTATCAGTTCATCCCCCGCTCTCCCCAATCCTCCACTTGTTTACAAGTGCCCTCAGAAACTTACCATGCAAGGCAGCTAATGACTGAGGATGGCAAATTGCAATCAAGGGGCTGTTTTAGGAGGAAGTTTGGTTCAACCCTCATTATTTTGTTACTTTACCCACAGTTTGTTTTCATGGAGAGAATAAGGAATTAGCTGGATCCCACTGTCCCCACCCAGCAGCTCCATTAAGAGATGCAAAATCAGCACAGGCCAGAAATCCTGGCGCAAGGCAAAAATAGCAGCCCCCAGATGAATAAAGCTCCATCGTGGTGGCATTTCGGGATTTATTCTGAGGAATAGGTTTTAAGGCCAGAAGGAACTATTAAGATATTTTTTCAGAGTAGCAGCCGTGTTAGTCTGTATTCGCAAAAAGAAAAGGAGGACTTGTGGCACCTTAGAGACTAACAAATTTATTTGAGCATGAGCTTTCGTGAGCTACAGCATCCGATGAAGTGAGGTGCCACAAGTCCTCCTTTTCATTAAGATCTTGTGACCTACGCTTCCCCGATCCGAGAAATTCAAGCAGCAATTCCCACACCAGACTCCATAACTGGTGGGCGTCTTTTAGAAAGACACCCCAGCTCGATTCTAAGGTTCTAAGGAAAATCCCCCCAGTCGCTTGGGAGGGTGTCCCAGCGTGGCCAATCTGCAGTAGCAGGCGCTTCCCTTAAAAACTCCACCCCGGGAATGAGGTGATTTTTCCGTGATGATGGGAATTCGGCTTGCGGGTTTTGTTTCTAGCTTGCAGGGCTCCAGAGAACAGCCTGTAAACATGACCTGCAAAGGCTCCCACCCCAGAAAATGAAACAAAAAGGCCCCCACATCCTGTGGGGCTTTGAAGATTTCGTGATTTCTTAAGCCAATCTTTTTGTAACTTGTTTCGGTTTTTTTGGAGCCTGATGCCTGATATTTTGAAGGCTGGGGCTTGGCTATTGTAGGTTAACTGCTCTTGCTGTTAAAAGGTGTCCCTTGTTTCTAGACAACTTTCAGCCATCGTATCTTTATTGTGATAGCCCTTGGGGCCCCAGGCATGGGCCAGACCGCCGCTGTGCCAGGCGCTGTACATTTTTGTTTCTATGAGGTGCATTATGGTAACACATAGGCACTCCAGGCATGGGCCAGGCCCCTATTGTGCCGGGCACTGTACGTTTTTATTGCTTTAGGTATATTATGATAGCACCGTGGCCCAGGCCCCATTGCGCCAGATTCTGTACGAATGAAGCCCGGGATTTCATTTTGTCTTTATCTGCTAGATGAAAGAGTCCTCTGCTCTCAGAGATCTTCCCCTGTGGGCCTTTTATAGACACCCCCCCTCCCCCCGATCCAAACCAGAAAGAAGGGAAAATCTGGGATGTGTTTTGACTTTTCAAGTCCAGCTGAGCTCTGGACCCTGATTGAGCCGAATCCACAAAATGTAGGAAGCTGGAAGGAGAAAGGGGGTGGATCCTGTTAAATGGCTCCCCTCCTATGGAAACTTCCCAGCAGGCAAACTCAAGGGGAACCTCCCCGCCTGGTGAAGGCAGCCTCGCCAGGGCTAATTTTGTTTTATTTCATTTGGTTTTGCCTGTTGAAACCCATTTATCTGGGCTCTAGTTCTAGACCCGGCCAAGAAAAGGTGTTGAATTCGTTCGTGATTTATGAGCGTTTTCTGGGCCGTGCTCGTCACCAGCCCTGTTATTAACCGGAATGAACGCAATACAATGTGGCTTGGCCTGGCACGAATTCTCGTGTTCCCCTGGAGGGAGTTGGAATGGCACAGACAGAGGAGGTGGCAGGGGTGGCACGGTTTTCCTCTCCTTTCCTGAATCCGTCTGGGTATGGAATGGCTCAGACGACAGCAGCTAGTTAAGGCAAAAGGAAACAAGAAAGCAAGTTCTCGTCTACACTAGCAAAACAGCCTCCTCGTTTTCAGCCGCTGGTCAGTGCTCAAACAATCGTGAGCCGTTTGCACTAAGTGCTCGCACCCTCACGCTGTGTCCGTGACAGTGATGGGTAAGGAATTAGACCAAAACCGCCTACACAGCATTGCTGTGATCAGATCTGCTCCGAGCAGATGACTCTAAAATGCTCAGCCCCACGAGGTCTCCCAAAGTTGTTACCTCTTGGGGGGAAATTAACGTGGGGTGGGCCAGGATGGGATATATTGGCTATATTTTCTAAGGGAAGGCCAGCGATAGTGGGGCCTTGTCTATAGCCTGGCAACAGCTGCCTTTCAGGGAGAGCTCTTCTTAGATTGATTGCCCGAGGGTTTTCTGGCATGGAACTGATTTATTTGTATTATGCTGGCCCCTAAAAGGCCCAGACCAAGATCAGGGCCCTGTCGTGCCAGGCGCTGCCCAGACCGCGACCAAGATCAGGGCCCCGTCGTGTCGGGCGCTGCCCAGACCCCAAGCGAAATCAGCGCCCCGTCATGCAGGTTACTGCACAAAGAGTGATAGACAATCCCTGCCCCAAAAAGCTGACAATCGCAATAGACAAGGAGTGGGAGGGGAAACTGAGGCACTAACTGGGGCAGTGACTTACACATCAGTTCACTGGCAGAGCTGGGACTAGAACCAGGTTTTCAGCATCTCCATCCAGGGCCCTGTCCCCTAGAGAACTGGTCCCATCCCACAGGGTCTTGGTCCGGTCAGCTGACCACATTAAATTATTCCGTTAGCAAAACCCTGGTCTTCTGACTTTGTACATTTCTTCACTAGCCTGTGCTCTGGAGGCCCTGATGATCCTGGGTCCAGACACACAGCTGGCATAAATCGGAACAGCTGCATCCCCATTCTAGACCCTCAGCTGGTGTTAACGAGTGAATCTCACACCAGCTGAGGATCCGGCCTGGTACAAATAGCCAAAACCCCAATCTGCCCCCATGCTTCCCCCCACACTTCGTCAGCAGATCTGTGCTTTACACCTCCCAGGAACTGGACTGTACAGAAGTTCCCACCCTACTGTAATGGAAACTGACCGGAGAGCTTCTTTCTTATAGGGGTCGACTTAACTGGTGCGGTATGGACTGATGTTGCAATGGGGCAGGGAGGCCTCTTCCCGCGCCTTTCCGGGGACGCTGCTTTGTATCTCTAGCCCGGGGTAGGCAACCTATGGCACGCGTGCCAAAGGCGTCACTCACACTGCCCGGGTCCTGGCCACCAGTCCGGGGGGCTCTGCATTTTAATATAATTTTAAATGAAGCTTCTTAAACATTTTTAAAAACCTTATTTACTTTACATACAACAATAGTTTAGATCTATATTAAAGACTTATAGAAAGAGACCTTCTAAAAACGTTAAAATGTATGACTGGCACGCAAAACCTTAAATTAGAGTGAATAAATGAAGACTTGGCCCACCGCTTCTGAAAGGTTGCCGACCCCTGCTCTAGCCCGTAGCCAGCCCCTTCTCCTGCCCCATGCCCTGAGCTGGGTGTGTGTCTGCTATCCATGCAGAGGAACAACGCAACAGCGTGGGGGAGGGCAGGGAGGTTTGCTGGGCTTGATTGAGTTAATTGGAAGGGAAGTGTGGATTAAAGGGTTAACCAGTCTCCTTCAACCCTGGTCCCCTGAAGGTGTGAAGTCCCGGTGCTGTCTTCTCACCATTGGAGGAGCCCTTACCTCAGCTCCCCCTGGCCACTTTTAGAGGAGGGTGCCCACAATTTCTGGGTGTGTCTTTTCCTCTCTCCACTCTGCAGCGAGCCTGGGCAGCTGAGCGGATTGGAATAACCTAGCGTCCCAGTCCTCCGGGGTGGGTGAGACGAGAAGGAGCCCCTTCGGGATCGCCAGTTCCTGAGCATGATGTCCTATATGAAGCAGCCTCATTATGCAGTCAATGGGTTAACCCTAGCGGGACCGGGCATGGACCTGCTCCACTCCGCCGTGGGATACCCAAGTAAGTGCCTTTCCGCGATTCCTCCATGGGCGCTCGGAGACTAGGGTCATGGAGGCCACAGAAGAACCTACTGTCAATTTCAGAGCTGTCAATTTCTGTGGAGTGGGTTGTGGGTTAGGGTGAGCAGAGAGCAGTGTGAAAAATTGGTGGGGAGTCATAGAATCCTATACAAGACAAAGTCCCAAATATCGGGACATCCGGTCACCCTGTTGTGGTTGCTGGGAGAAAGAAACTAATTATTGTAGAGAGAGTGAAATAAGTTAAAAGAACGAGGAGTACTTGTGGCACCTTAGAGACTAACAAATTTATTTGATCATAAGCTTTCATGGGCCAAAACCCACTTCATTGCATGCATGCAGTATACAGATATCTATAGCTTCCTACTGTATTTTCCACTCCATGCATCCGATGAAGTGGGTTTTAGCCCATGAAAGCTTAGGCTCAAATACATTGGTTAGTCTCTAAGGTCCCACAAGTCCTCCTTTTCTTTTTGCAAATACAGACTAACACGGCTGTTACTCTGAAACCTGAAATAAGTTAGTTACCATTACATAGCCAGCAAGTGACCTTGGTTCTTATCGTACAGAGCTGAAGACACCAGTTTCTGTTCAATTGAGTGAGTGAAATACGCCAGTTACAATTACTTCACACATCAAAGAAATCCATGATCCTCAGTGAGATGTTAGCATTGTCCTGAGCTTTATCCTGAGCGTGTGCAGTAGACTAGTTATTCTCTAGGCACTGGAAAAAGCAAACAGGTGGTGTAATAATTCTAGAGGAAGAAAGCAAAATCAGTTGGTTATTATTGTAAATACAGCTAAATAAACCAGTTACCATGACGCTGAACGAGTCAGCCAGCCCGGTTATTCTACAGCGACTGAGATCAGCCAGCTATTCTAGAGACAGGTTTCAGAGTAGCAGCCGTGTTAGTCTGTATTCGCAAAAAGAACAGGAGGACTTGTGGCACCTTAGAGACTAACCAATTTATTTGAGCATAAGCTTGATTATCACTACAAAAGGTCCCGCCCCCCACTCTCTTGCTGGTAATAGCTCACCTTAAGTGATCACTCTCCTTACAGTGTGTAGGGTAACACCCATTGTTTCATGTTCTCTGTGTATATAAATCTCCCCACTGTATTTTCCACTGAATGCATCCGATGCAGTGAGCTGTAGCTCACGAAAGCTCATGCTCTAATAAATTGGTTAGTCTCTAAGGTGCCACAAGTCCTCCTGTTCTATTCTAGAGAGTGAGTGAAATAAACCAATTATTATAGAGTGAGCAAAGCAAATGAGTTAGGCTTATTTCACCAACTCTCTGTGATTCATTTATTTTACCTTATCATTATGACTATTAAAGTGAGCGGAATAAACCAGTTGTCAGAGTGAAATAGTCACCTAGAAGAGACTGGGGTTTGAGTCATAGAATATCATTCAGAGATACTTTGAGAGAGGTCACCTAAGAGCCCGAGGGTTGCTTGTGGGAATTTGCAATCAGTGGGTTTCTGCTCTCCCTGCAGTCATGTCCCCCTCATTGAAACTCAGAACGCTGGCCTGCAAAGTAGCACCCCCACCCCTCTCTGTTGCTCCTGGATGCACCACCTTGGTGTTGGTCGCTGGGGCCCCCTGGAGTCACGTGGGGCACAAGGCTGGAAAATCAGGCAGCCAGTGAGTTCCCCACCTTCCCAGGGGCAGTGGGGCTCAGCTTGGGGGCGACAGGCTCTGGCTGTGGGGCTTCGGGCTCCGGCACTGGCTGGCTGTCAGCAGGCCCCGAGGTCCGGCCATATGGCTTCGGGCTCCATTCTCGGGCCCCATTCTCGGGCCCCATCCTCCAGCTACGGGACTTTGGGCTCTGGCCCCAGGCTTCAGGCTCCAGCCCTCGCTGCCTCCTCCCCTGCACTGCACCCCCATCTCCCCTGGCCCTCCCCCAGGGCTTACTTTGTCCCCAGGCCTGGTAGGGCTGAGTAAGTCTGCTGTGACAAGAGGTACTTGTATGTTTGTTAATATCACTTGTCACAGCAGACTCACTAGCTAGCAATAAATAAATTGTAATGATTTGGACGTGTCTATGTGCATAGTTATTTGGTTTCCCTAACGCTATTATAATTTGGCCTGAGAACCCCTTAGAGGCTAAACCGCTGGCGAGAGACAAGCCAGCTTCGCCATTCCCAGGCCCCTTGTCCACAGACCTTTACACTCGTGCGATGTGGGTGCAAATGGCTCTCATTCTAGCTCATTACACTCAGCGGTGCCCAGGTGCAGAGGACGGCACAAGTCGCAAACTGAGAAGCTGACTGCGTTTCTCAGAGATGGAGCTGACGAGAAAGTTGAGATCCAAGCTCAGCCCAACATTGCGGGGGATTTCTGGGTTCCTGGCTTTGAGCCGGACCCCGCTGTAGGATCCCCCAGCTCTAAGCACAGACGCAGGAGAAATGCTGAGCAAACGTGTGACCTAGTGCAGGGTTCCTCTAATCTCGACCACGCGTCCCCAATGCACACGCACCCCGAGCAGTCTGGGTGTGCGTCACGTGCGATGCGTGGCCACACAGTCATGAGTTTCAAAAGTGACTTGGGATTGGACGGCCCATACCTGAGGCTCCTCAAAGAGATCTGATTTTCACACAGTGCTAATCACCCCCACCCCCGTCCGCCCCGAAGGGCAGGTGGAGACTCAAAATGAGGAGGGGTCTAAAGTCACTAGTCATTAAAACCCCATGGTCTCACTCTCCACGGGCTCTGACTCTCCACTGCAACGGGTGTGAATCAGGTGTAGCTGCACTAAAGGGTCTCATTCCCCTGTGCATTGCCCCTTACACACCCACGTGCCCCAGTGCAATGAGGGTGACCCTGTCGTGGTGGCATTTTGCCCTCACTTTGCCCTGGTGCAAACGGCCACATGGCAACTTGTGCAAACGAAAGCCGAATGGCCAATTTAAATCACCTCCCCGGCTGCCAGGGTCCCTCTGGCATCTCCACAGCCCCCTGCTTGCACCCTCTGGCCCCGCTCTCCATGCAGCCAGGCCAACGACTGCACCGGAAAGGGCTGACCTGCAGGCCAGAGCTGCGGGAAAGGCTGCTGGGGCCTTCACACTGACAGACATGGGCAGCTCTGCCCGGCTCCTCTCACCCCCCTCGGAGCATCCGAACCCCTCGCAGTCTGTAATCCAACCCGGCCAAGCCCTAGAGGGCCTGTTCCGTAAATCACACACTGGGTTTTCTGGGGAGGATTTTCGAGACCCACCCACCCCACATAATGCTGAAACAAACGCACCAAAATAACAGCCCGCCCTCCTCCTGCCATGCTATGGGCGGAGCCCTCCTCTCCACTGGGCGGGTGGGAAACCGAGGCACACAGCGACAACGGCCCAGTTCCTCCAAGGTCACTGATCCTGAGCCTGGTGGTCTGACCACTAGACTCTCCTGCCTTCTGAGCTACAAATGCCTTTGCCTTAGCCAAGATCTCTTTCTCTGGTAACAAATTGCTCGGAGCTGTGGAGTGGCCCAGACACCCAGGGCTGAATGATTATGATTATTTGGCTGGTGTATTATGGTAGCGCCTTGGCGCCCCAGTTGTGGGCCAGGCCCCCTGGCGCTAGATGCTGTACGTTATTTATTAGGTGTATTACGGTAATGCAGTGGAACAAGCCGCTTGCCCCCCACCGTGCCCTGGAGGGGGGTCACCGAAGGGCAGGGAGAAGCAGATGCCTGGGGGACAGCCCTGATTGCTGCTCCCGCAGCTCCCCACTCCGGGGACAACCCCCCCCGGCTTGTCTGTCCCACCCTGAGAGCAGCAGCCGTAACCATCTCCTCTCCCCCCACAGCCACCCCACGGAAGCAGCGGCGCGAGCGGACGACCTTCACGCGGGCCCAGCTGGACATTCTGGAGGCGCTCTTCGCTAAGACCCGCTACCCCGACATCTTCATGCGGGAGGAGGTAGCGCTCAAGATCAACCTGCCGGAGTCCCGGGTACAGGTGAGGATGGGAGCCCGGACTGACCCCTGGCCAGACGGTTGTGTGTGTGTACACATGCGTGTGTGTATGTACTGCTGCCTCCTGCTGGAAAGTGTGTATGTGTGAGCACACATGGCTGGCCGCTGCCCTCTGCTGAGTGGAATTGGAACTGCTCACCTTGGTGTCATAAGCCCTATACTGCTGACAGCCGATGGGGATTCTCCTTTAGCAGCGTGCTGGGGTTTGGGAGCAGGTTTGAGTTCTGTGTGCAGCTCCCAGCAGCCTCTGGGGAAATCCTAGCTTGCAATGGAGGTGGAACAGGATTTTACATCCCCTGTGGGACCCCACAAATGTAACCCAATGCATGTGATATCAAGAGCGGGTGTTTGCCCAGCCCAGAAAGGCGGCCACCTCTGGAGAGGCGCCAGGGGGCTGTGCTGTGAACCTTGCAGGGCTGGGTAGGAGCTAAAGTCCAGGGAAGCTGCCAGGGGCTTTGGGAGGATGAATGTGGTTATCCCAGCTGGGCGCCTGAGTAAACAGCTGGACTCTTTGCAACGTGGCCTCGGGAGGCCGGGCTGCAGCGTTTGTCTCTGCTGGAAGATGGCATTGGGGCCAGACCAGCCTGGGAGGGGAGAGCGCCCCCTCCTGACCCCCCACCCCACTCCCTGCAGCACAGCGCCCCCTAGTGCTGTGCTGGGCATTGGTGCCAGCACTGACTGCCTGGAAGAGCGACCCCTGTTGTGCCCCCCGCCCACTCCCTGCCAACAGCCCCTGTGGGGTGCAATACGCTTGACTGACAGAAGCTACAAAGTGGGTGACCCCCAGCTTAAGACGCTTTCATCCCAGTGAAACTGCCTCCACACGAGGGGTCGGACTGGTACAACTATATCGGTCAAATAGCGCCCCCGGCAGACTCGGTTGTACTGGAGCGTGCGCCCTGCCTTTGGCGTTGGGTTAAATAAACCGGTTTAGGCTCAGTCGGTTTTGCTTTCCCATGTAGACAGAGCCTAGCTGCCCGGAGCTCAGAGCCGGCTCAACAGCTGCCCAGCACGTCCTACCACATCGCCAACCCTGAGTGTTAACAAATCCCGAGAGTTGGCTTAGAAATCATGCCATTTTTAAAAGTTAGAAATCAGTAAAATTTGGACTCTTTTTAAATTTGCCATGCGAGATCTCCCGATAATTGGCCGCCCTCCGTCTGCGTCCTGCAGGAAACGGTCCGGGTTTCTCGGGAGATGTTCATGGGGCAAGTTCACCCCCCGAAATGACGGCAAAGGGCTAAGAACAGGAGAGAGACATCACCAGGTCGGGGGGAGGACAAATTCGAGGCTGGGTGTAAGGCAGTGAGCTGTGCGCGCACGTGTGTGTGTGTGTGTCTCTTTTGGATGAGGAGCAGCTGAGTTCTACCCTGCTCCTGCCAGGAAATCCCCCGTGCTCGACACTCTCAGAGGTCCCGATATTATGGGATTATTCTAGAGGCTCCCCCTGCAGCCTCAGTTTCCCTATCTGCTCTGGGGATAATACTAACAACAGCTGGCTCTGTTCTGCCCTAGTTCTGGGGCTTTGAGATCCTCCGAGAGAAGGGGCAGGATAATCCCCCCCCCCCCGAGTACAGTCATCCGGGGGGCTCAATGGCTAGAGACCAGCCCTAGGAGGGGAGGGCGAGACGGGCGCTTTGCGACCCCCCCGATCCAGCGGGAGGGGGCGGAGATGGACGCCAGCGGCTGTTGCAGCCGGGCCACGGCCAGGGGAAACGGACCCCCCTGGGCGCTGTGGCTCACCCCCGCCCCCCCCCCGGCAGGTTTGGTTCAAGAACCGACGGGCCAAATGCCGCCAGCAACAGCAGCAGAGCAGTGGCCAGGCCAAGGCGCGGCCGGCCAAGAAGAAGAGCTCGCCGGCCCGGGAGACCAGCTCGGAAACCAGCACCAACGGCCAGTACAGCCCCCCACCCGCCGGCGCTTCGGGCACCCCCAGTTCCACGGCCAGCGCCACCGTCTCCATCTGGAGCCCGGCCTCCATCTCCCCCATCCCCGACCCCCTGGCCTCCTCGGCCACCCCATGCATGCAGCGCTCCGCCGCCTACCCCATGACCTACACCCAGGCCACCGGCTACCCCCAGAGCTACGCCGGCTCCTCCGCCTACTTCCCCGGCCTGGACTGCGGCTCCTACCTCTCGCCCATGCACCCGCAGCTCTCCGCCCCCGGCGCTGCCCTGAGCCCCATCGCCGCCCCGGCCATGGGCAGCCACCTCAGCCAGTCTCCGGCCTCCCTGTCCAGCCAGGGCTACGGCACGGCCGGGCTCAGCTTTGGCTCGGTGGATTGCTTAGACTACAAGGATCAGACGGCCTCTTGGAAACTCAATTTCAACGCCGCGGACTGCTTGGATTACAAAGATCAGAGCTCCTGGAAGTTCCAGGTCTTGTGAAGTGGCAGGAGGCAGCCAGGGAGACACTCCCTGTCCATGCTTCCCCCCCCACCCCGAAGGCCCATCTCTCCCCTCCCCGCTGCCACCTTCTCGAGCCGCCTGGCCTCCGACCCACGTCCGTCGCCAGACTGAGATTGCAACCAGCATCGGGGATCTGACTGAGGGGGGACTCCCCCTTGCCCGGCATCACGGGGGGTTTGCCCTTCCTTGGAAACTTGCCCTGCTTGGTTGTTCGGGGGCTGAGGACCCCACCCGGCGTGGCCACATGGGCCCCTCGCGCCGGCGGTGCCTCGGGTTTTTTTTCCGCCTGAGCCCCGGACACGAAATCTGTCGAGGAATCTCAGCCGGGATCCCGCCCTGCTGATTTCCTTGGGGCGGGGGCTGGCTGGCATGGCAGCCCCCACAGTCTGTGCCACCCCCATCACGTGGCACCCGGATCTGTAGGGGTGGAGCTGGGAAGTGGCACGGCTGGTTCTGGGTGGGAAGTAGCCCCCCGCCCCTGGCAGGTTTCTCCCTAGCCCTGGCCTGATCCTTCAAAGGGGGCGGGTGGGGGGGTCTGAGCAAAGGAAGTGAAGGGTGGAAAGAAATAGGGTGTGAGGTGGAGGAGTTAGGTCCAGGCATGTGCTGCCAGGACTCCTGGGTTCTTTTTCCGGTGTTGGGAGGGGAGCGAGGTTTAGAGAAGTGGGGACCGGGAGTCAGTTCTCCTCAGCTTTATTTCCAGCTCAGCCAATGATTGGGTGTCAGATGTTCCACCCCGTGCCTCGGTTTCCCCTTCTGTCGTGCCCTCCATTTGCATGGGGCCATGGGATCTGTGGATGGACAGCTCTGTGCTTGGCAAAGCTGAGGGCCAGGGCGAAGGGCGTGTGCCGAGGTCACAGCCCAGCGAGGACGGCTTAGGGAGCGTCGGGATTGAACCGGCTCCAGGTTCAGCTGCCCACAGTCCAGTCATCCGGAACTGAGGTCCCGTCTCCTCTGGGTGGAGACCTCGCCGGCCACATCCTGCCAGAGAGAGGGTCGGGTCTGCCCAGCTGGGGCGCCCGCAGCTGAGCTCTGGCCCAGAGGTGGCTGCGTTTCAGCGGCGGGTTCGGGATGGGAGCCTTTAATGCTGGAAGCTGAGACGTTGCTGGGTCAAAGGAACAATGCAGAGCACCAGTAAAAATATATGCGGGGGGGGGAATGAGGCCTCCTGGCTGGGGGGGGTGGGAATTGAGCATTTAGAGAGCATTTGTCTAGACCCACTCCCTCCATGTAAATCCTGAGTCTTCAGGCTCCCTCTGCTATGTGGAGCCAGGATCGGAGTGGCGTGGCCGTACCGGGGGCTCTCGGTAGAGGCGTCTGGACACAAACTCTCCCTGGGGTCCCCCTCCAGCACCTCAACCCGTGTCGCAGAGCTGCTGGGCTGACCCACCCCGGAATGGGTCCGTGGCCAGGCCACACCCCTGTCTCAAGCAAGCAACCCGGGGCATGAAGCGGGGCAAGGGACCTGGTCGCACTTAGCGAGTTGGAGGGGAGAGATCTATGCTGAGAGGCCAGCGGCGCGAGCCAGGGTCAAGGCCTGCCTGGCTGTTTGCAGGGTGGTGTTTTATTCTAACCTCCATTTCCTCTCCCCCCTGGATATTTTGGGTGCAAAACCCATTATTTGGGGAGGGGGTTAACTTGAAAGTGACGACAAATGCTTATGCTTTGAGGGCTCCCCTGCCTCGCGCTCTCCCAGGAGACTGACCGGTGTATGGCCTGGGCCAAACGCTCAGCAAACTGCCCTGGCTGTTCCGGGCTCTGACCCGGGGGGCATTTTTTCTGTTTATTGTTCATCTGTTCGACCCCCCAAAATCCCCCAGAACGTGCTGATTTCGAATGCTGCGGCCTCGGTGCCGCCCGTCGCAAGTGACCAGGCCTTTGGGCTCTTTGCAGGGCTGGAAAAATCGCTCTTCCATGGGAGTTAGGTGCTGAAATACCTTGGGGGGTCTGAGGCAACATCCAGGCACAAAGCACAACTTCCCACCCAATGGGGGCCCCGATCCTGAAAGCCATTCGCACAGGCCCCATGGGCTTGTCAGCTTGGGGCCAGAAAGGGATGCAGTCAAACTGGGTTCGGCTCCTGCTGCTCTCGCACCCCGGTGGCAAAACTCCCCGGGATGGGGACAGGATTGGGTCCTCTGGCTTGTGCAGGGAGGAGAGCTGAGATGGTGACTAGCCAGGAGGTGGGGAAACTCGGCACGGATCCCAGCTGTCGAATGTTCAGCCGCTTTCCCTGAATCATCCTGGTTTCCAGCCCAGTTGTGGGGCAGGGGTCAGAGCCCGGCAGCTCAGAATGGAATTGCAGGGTGGACCACCTGAGGTCCTGACGCCGTTGCATTCACATGGAGCTTCCCCCTGCCCCCCACCTTTGGCTGTGTTTAAAAGTGTGTTGGGGGAGAAGGGAGAATTGGTGATGCTTTGAGGCCCAGTTTCCCCATTGCCTTGCACACGCATTTACACTAGTGCGGAAGAGGCATGAAACCGGATCGGAAGGATTCTCGTCCACACCTGTTCCGCACTAGTGGGTGCAAGACTATGGAGAACCCAGCTTTTTCTTTTCTAACCAGACCCCTTTGACTGCTCCCCTTTTCCAAAGCTGGCTGCATAGAAACTCCCCCAAAGATGTAGCGGATTCGGGTTCAGCTCCGTCTCTGTCTGAGGCAGCGCCACTGAGATCCAGCTGGTGTCGGCTCCTAGAGATCTGAACTGGAGTGGCCGTTTGCTCTGGGGACGGTTCTAACATCAGAAGCCACCTCGCCTTGCACGTCTGCTGCCCCAGATTGATTCTCCTTGCCAGGGGTTTGCATTGAAACCAGCCACCTTACAGCTCACTGTGGGGCCCGAACGTCTCCATGCAATCATTTTCACCCATGCAAAACGCTCCGGCTCTGGTCGCACTTTGCAGCGGGGAATCGGACTAGACAAGAGTCGGGGCGCTGTGGAACTGCACGGCCGCATTTAGAATTTTGGCATGTAAATAAACCCCGACAGGTTGTGAGTTTCGTTTCGGGCAATTCTGTAGTTCTTTGTTTTCCCGCGAGCCGCCACGACGAGCCCCGTTTCCACCTTCACAGACAAAGGCTGTTTTAATTTATTTTTTGGCTGAATACCTCATTTCTGCCACTCTTCCCTTTGCAAAGGAGCAACGAATGGCCTAGCTGCTAACGTTGCCACATCCCTCGGCATTAGGAGGTCACGTCTCCACCGCCTACGACTAGCTGGTTTTATTTTCACGCCTCTATCTGTGGAAATGTTTTATTTTTTGCTTTTTTCTAGCCATAGGTTTGCTCCAGTCGTTTTGTTTTTAAAGAAACGGGGGCAAAAAACATTAAAAAGAAAAGAAAAGAAAAGCAAGCCGAGACAATAAATATCTGCAAAGAGTTTGATTGTTTTTTGTGTGCACTAAAGTACTGGCTTAAAAACAAAAAAGCTATTTTGTAACTTGACGTAGAGGGGGGTTTTAGACTAGTTTTGTTAGGTGTCAAACTCCAGTGTCTGTAGGAGAAACAGAATTTCAATGCGAACTATTTTTGAGGACTTGATATTTATTCTTGATTTAGCGAGAGGCTGGTTCCTGTACCAGCCCCCAGTTTTTGGTGGTTTAAAGATTTAAAAAATAAAAAAAGTGCAAAGAACCCGGAGTTCTGGGCTGGCTTTTTTGGTTCTTGCCGTTGCTAATTTTAGCCCCGAGCCTGCAAAATGCTCACGCAGCTGGGTCACTTCACTCAGGTGAGGGCTCTAATAGAGGTAAGGGGGTAGGGCAGGATTGAGAGGCACCGGCAGAGCTGCTGGGGAGCCCAGGGCCAGGCTGGCAGGGGCCTGCGGTCGGGAGCGAGGGGCACCGACAGAGCTAGGGGCGGGGGGGAGCCCAGGGCTGGGCTGGCAGGGGGCTGCGGGTCGGGAGTGAGGGGCACCGGCAGAGCTGAGGGGGCCCCCCAGGGCTGGGCTAGCAGGGGCTGCGGGTTGGGAGTGAGGGGCACCGGCAGAGCTGAGGGGGCCCCAGGGTTGGGCTGGCAGGGGGCTGTGGGTCGGGAGTGAGGGGCACTGGCAGGGCTGGGGGGTCCCCCAGGGCTGGGCTGGCAGGGGGCTGCGGGTTGGGAGTGAGGGGCACCGACAGAGCTGGGGGCGGGAGGGAGCCCAGGGCTGGGCTGGCAGGGGGCTGCGGGTCGGGAGTGAGGGGCACTGGCAGGGCTGGGGTAGCAGGGGCTGCGGGTTGGGAGTGAGGGGCACCGGCAGGGCTGGGGGGGCCCAGGGCTGGGCTAGCAGGGGCTGCGGGTTGGGAGTGAGGGGCACCGACAGAGCTGGGGGCAGGGGGCTGCGCGTCGGGAGTGAGAGGCACTGGCAGGGCTGGGGGGGCCCAGGGCTGGGGTAGCAGGGGCTGTGGGTTGGGAGTGAGGGGCACCGGCAGAGCTGAGGGGGCCCCCCAGGGGTGGGCTAGCAGGGGCTGCGGGTTGGGAGTGAGGGGCACCGACAGAGCTGAGGGGGCCCCCAGGGCTGGGCTGGCAGGGGGCTGTGGGTCGGGAGTGAGGGGCACCGGCAGGCTGGGGGGGCCCAGAGCCGGGCTGGCAGGGGGCTGTGGGTCAGGAGTGAGGGGCACCGGCAGAGCTGAGGGGGCCCCCAGGGCTGGGCTGGCAGGGGGCTGCGGGTCGGGAGTGAGGGGCACCGGCAGGGCTGGGAAGTGGGGAGCCTGGGCTGGGCTGACAGTGGTGGCTCCTGGTCAGGGCTGAGGGTCTTCGGTCAAATAAGCTCAGGGAACATCTCCTGGTTGCTCCAGGGGCCCGTGGGGACGCCCTGAGGCAGGGGAGCAGATGGGCCGTGGTGGGAACCCGCTGAGGGGTGAGGGGGGCTGGCGGGGACGGGGGGTACCTGCCCTTGGTGAGCGCTCTGCACCAACGCCCATCTCCTCAGCTCTGCCTGGAGCCCCCCGTTCCTGCTGATTTGGGGGGCAGGCACCAGAGGTCTCAGCAACAGGCAGCCGCGTCTGCTCATGAGGTAATCCCGCCCTTAGCCACAGAAACCGCTTGGCCCGGCCCCCAGGGCCCAGCTGTGAGTGAACCTGGAGTCACTCGTGTCACGAAATCACTGGCCTTTGCTCAGGGCGTCCTGCCCCCAATCTCAATGGGGCCACAACATCACCCTCAGTGTCGCCCTCCCCATCGCCCCTCCAGGAGCTTGACCCCCCTTGCCCCTCCCCAATTGCCTTCAATGCACTGTGGAAACTGAGGCAGGCCCAGTGGCTGTGGGCGTGTGGAAGGAGGAAATGGGAGCTGATTCTGAGCCAATGGCCAAACTCTCATGGGAGCAGGGCCGAGCCCCGAGCTCAGGCTGGGGTTTCCAGGGGACCCACTGGAATTTGGGGGGCTGAAGTTCCTCAGAAAATCCCTGGCCTCTGTTGTGGGCTTTTCCCTCCTTCCCGTTGCTCTCACGGCCTGTCCCTTGTCAGGCCATAACTCTGAGCCCCATGTCCCAGACACGCCCCCCCCCAGTGGGGTTCTGTGTTGGGGGGTTCCCCCATTGCAGGGCAGGGCCCAGGCTGCATCCACCCCAGATGGCCCAGGGCCTCCCACAGAACCCAGGAGTCCTGGCTCCCAGCCTCCCCTCCCCCCTCCCCGTGCCTCTAACCACTAGACCCCATGCCCATCCCAGAGCTGGGGAGAGAACCCAGGAGTCCTGGCTCCCAGCCCCGCCTCCCCCCCCCCCCCGCTCTAACCACTAGACCCCCCTCCCCTCCCAGAACTGGGGAGAGAACCCAAGAATCCCGGCCCCCACTCCCCGCTAGCTGGCTGGCCAGGCCATCGGGCTGGGTTCAGGCCTGTAACGGGGCTGACTGGGGTCGGGGCGGGGGGGGTCGCTGAGGGTCCATCCTGTCCCTCCTGCTCACTGCCCGGGCTCAGGGGTGGCAGAAGAAGCCAGGCCCAGCAGGGTGGCAGGGTGGGGGGAGCAGGGGCTAGCTGGCCTGATGGGGGGCTGCAGTGGCTCTCCAGGGCCGGGGCGTGAGGCAGGGCTGGAGGGGCCGTGCCAGGCAGCGTGGCCTAGCGGCTAAGGCTCCGGGCGGGAGTCACCTTCTCGCCAGGCCTCTGTGAAACGGAGCCAATTGTCCTTCATCCATCTGGGAGCTCAGCAGGGCCG